CAGGGTACACAACTACACTATCTAGCTACACACCCCTGGCGATATACTACTGATCTTGAGACTCAAACTCATATCATAGCACCATACTTATATATATATAATCTAGTAACCATCCTATTCAGTTTAAATTAATCCTCCATAAGTCATTCAACTTGTTCAGCTAACTTGACTTGAATATAAGTAGGACTTAACATTTTAGTTAATCCATTCCCTTATATAAAATTGGTAGGACTTAACTGATAAGTTAATCCGTCCCTAGAATGCCACCGTCCCATACCGGTGCATTAAACCACACAATCCAACAATTAATGTAACGATTAAAGAAAAACATCAAACAATTCAGAAATAACTATGATAATATGATATCAAGTTATCACAAAATAGGAATGACTTATTATTTATTTAAGCTTCCTATATCATATGTCCTACATAAACTGAATCTTATACATATGATGATATTTTATTATACCGTCAAATAAGCATTCTCCATATTTAATTCATCCTACACATTTAATCTCAATTGTTAAAACATATTAAAAGATTAAATTCATTCGTTTGTTTAAAACATTCAAATAGCAAGTATCATTATGATTGAGTTTATTTAAATTTATTTAAACCCAAACCTAGTTCCTATTTAATGTTCAGGAATCCTAGACATGTTTTTACGTTCCATCATTTCACAAATATGAAAAAATACATAATGTAAACATATAAAAATTCACACCGAAAATCAAATCAAAATCATGCATTTATCAATTCATAACACAAGAACAGATATGAACCAATTTCATAAAATATATGTTCTAATCCAATTAAACATGCATAATTATTTAATTTTATGTGTTTAATAAATCCTGGAATTTCCTAGGCATGCATAGAAACACGAATCAAAAGGAGAGAGATAGAAGAAGAACTTGCCTTAAACTTTCGGATCGAAAGTTAAATTTCTTCTTCCTTAATCTTTTTTCTACGGGATTTTTTTTCCTCCTTCCTTTATTTTTTTCATTCCTTCTCTAACTCTCTCTCTCTAGAATATATCACGTGAATATTTCTATCCCCTTTTACAACCTATAGTTATATATTTATAGGCTAAATAAAATAACCCTAACCCTTTTCCCAATCCAAGTCAACTTAAAAAAAATAAATATTAAAATATTAAAAAGGTAAGTAAAATATGTTACGTATATAATTTATGTATATCTTTATTAAATAAATAAATTATACACATCCCATTATTTATTAATGGATTATCCAATAATACTTAAGTTACCATAATATTATAAAGTAACTTAAACCATAACACGTATCAAATCTATGTATATTTTTATTATTTAAATATAAAACATATACATCAGATTAAATATTACTATCCAAGTTATCATAAAAATAATTAATAAATTACTTTCCTTTTATATATATTAAAAAGGTAAGTAAAATATGTTAGGTATATAATTTATGTATATGTTTATTAAATAAATAAATTATACATATTCTATTATTTATTAATGGATTATCCAATAATCCAATAATACTTAAGTTACCATAATATTATAAAGTAACTTAAAACATAACACGTATCAAATCTATATATATTTTTATTATTTAAATATAAAACATATATATTAGATTAAATATTACTACCCAAGTTACCATAAAAGTAATTAATAAATTACTTTCCTTTTTATATATGTATATAATATATATCTATATATATACATACACAACTATTCATGAGTACTAATCCACATACATCCAACCTCCCATCCAAGTAGTCCATGGGACCCAATTGGTTTGCCCATTACTACTAACCATAACCATAAAAGAAAAATAAAATAAAATAATAAAAGAAAAGAAAATATTTAATTTATAATTAATCAAAACACACATAATCTAATTAAACAATTAACACATAGTCAAATACAAATAATACATAGACACATAATTAAATAATCAAGAAATACCTAATTCAATTAAACACATAAGTAATTAATCAAATAATCAATTAAATAATTAACAATACAATTAAAACAAATAAATAAATACCGAAACTATCCTTTTAAAATTAAGGTATTACAAAAGCTCTCTTTGACACTGTAAAATCATCATAATCTTCGCATATGGTTTCATGTACAGGTTAAAGACAATCTTTACTCAAAGAATTGAACCTGAAATCCTTTTATATATATAGTTGTTTTTCCGTTAAGTATCTTAGACAAGTCAACTGGCCAATATCAGTAGATGATAGGATAAAAACCAGAATACTTTATAATAACCAATATAAAAATCTAGAACAATACAATACAAGTTAATCATGTTTATTTCCAGAAAGTACTTAGAAATCTAGAGAGAGCAAAGTATAGAAATTAACGGATGGATCTTGCCTTGGACAATAAAGAACACTTATAAAGGTTGCGAAGGTCTTTTGAAGATGCACTCAAATTAGGTTTCCGTACTTGGCCGTTCAAACAATCTTCTGCTTGTGAGTGTATATACAGTATACTTAACAATCTACTGTTTATGAGTGTATACCATAATTTATTTATGTATACATAGGCGTGTGTTTGTGAGTGTATATATTGTAAGGAATTATATAAATAAAAGGGATAAGGAAACGAATGATGTAAGCAAAGAAGCAGACAATAGTTGTAGATAGAGAATTGAGACCTGGATGTGAATGTTAATTTTATTTCAAAAGGTAATAAAGTCAATTTACTATATTCAGGGTCTCTTTATTTATTTTTTAAACTTGAAGAGAGTGTCATTATCCAAAAATTAAATAACTTTCATCTGTGTGACGTTATCCCAAATGGGGTGTCTTTGTATTTTGTCCTAAAAAAAAAGTCTAATTTCAAAGGTATCATCACATGGTCCGCTTAAAAAAAAAAAAATTTTTAAAGGTCTTCTTCGTATTTTTTTAAAAAAATATTATTTAGTTCTTCAAAATGGCCCAATATTTCAGGTTTTTTTTGCCCTTATGGCCGACGTCAAACAGCAGCGGCGTGCTCTCACATTTGAATCTAGGATTGGCCAGTATTGAGATTAAAAAAAAAAAATTCTTGTCTCCCTTCTCTCTCCTCTCTCCTTTCTCCTCAAGCTTTTCGTTCCTCTCTCCTCAAACTTTCAGACTCTTTCTCTTTCTCTCTAGCTTCTTTTCTTTTTTCCCATCATTTTTTTTCTTCTTCGTTACTTCCAGCGAGAAGAGAGAGGAGAGTGAGAAAGCTGCCAGAGACCCGCCGATGATTCTTTCACCGGCCAACCGTGGTCGTCAGGTGCGGGAAAACAATTTCTTTCTCCTTTCTCTTTCTTTCTCTTTGTTTTGCTTTTTGTTTTAATCAATCATGTCTCTCTGGATGGAAAAAAAAAAATCTCTCTTTGATAATATTTTTGGCCTCCCTTTCTCCTCTGTCTATGAACAGCCACCAACCACCACCATCCTCCCCCGGCCACCCCAAACTACCGCCACAATCTCCATCCCCAACAATCACCACAATCAAAACGCACAAAAAAAAATCAAAAATCAAAATAAAAAAACCACCGCCACAAATCTAACACCACTATTGCTGCCATCAATTCTTTTCCCCGATCTAACAATAACAGTTTAAAGTAGGAGTATATTTGTTTTTCTTCAATCAATTTGGTTTGAATCTGTTTTTTTTTCCTCTGAACAGCAAAAGATGATATATATATATATAAGAGAGAGAAAATGTGTTGGGCTGATCAGAGAGGAAGGAGAATGAGAAGAATGAGTTGCAGGGAGGTTAGAGAGAGGAGAGAGAGTAAAGACCCGAAAAACTTTTGAGGAGAGAGGAGAGAGAGTAAAGTAGAGAGAAGTTGAAAGTTTGAGGAGAGAGGAGAGAGACGGGGTAACGGCAGACAAAAAAGATAAAAAAATATATTTTTTGAATTTCTAATCTTAACTCTTCAATCGGACAACTTATATGTAGAGCTCCCTCTGGTACTGTGAGGAAAGGGCTCTCGCAGTACATTATCCAATATAAAATAGTTTTGGAAGGTGAAATAGTGTTTTTAAAAACAAGAAAATAGTTTCGGCAGGTGAAATAGTGTTATTAAAAAACAAGTGGTATGTGACATAGTGGAAGACAAAAAACAATTATTTAAGAGTTTGAGATAACGGACCCCTTAGTTTTAAGGCATCATAGTCAAACCAAGGCGGAGCCATTTGGTTGAAAGTTTGAACCGGTCCATCTTTTGAAGTGATTAAAAAACACTCCATAAATATAAGATATGTTGAATGTCAAAATTACACTTTAAATTAATATGAGACACAAAATAGCACCAAACAAATATTTTTATAAAAATTTGACAGCAGCTCCTGTTTGAAAATTTTCACTGTTTGAAATTAAGTTTTTAATTTATTTATTTGACAGCCTTCTCAACATCTGATCATTCCTTCAGTGAAGGACCCGTACTGCTTGTCTTGACAGATTGGATTCCTTTTGCAGACCCATTGTCTAGTTCCCTCTAGGTAAAAACATCTGAACCTAAAATCAATTAGAAGAATCTTAGCTGAAAGAATCCACTCTAAAGACTACGGAGAGTGCTATTTTTGTAACATTGATAAAGAGACAACTCTTCATTTCTTTCTTATAGTAATGTGGCAAAAATGAGTCAAAATTTAAAGTTAGAATATAGATAAATAAACAAAAATTAAAATTGTAATATAATATAAACACAATGATTTTGATCCCCACCAGAGTTGTTGTATCTTCTTCTATCCAAAGAAGTCAAATGAAGTAGCTAATGATGAGCTTACAAAACGCAGCAAAAAAAAAAATGTCTCAACTATATGACTTATGATACCGGATTTAGGGCACAATGGCAATATACACATTTAGATGTTCGAAGAGGGAGATGCAGGTATGATATGGAGTCTCCCCGGTAGGATCAGAAAAGATTTTGGCCTAGAACTCCTCCTTGGGAAGGTTCATCCCTAATCAATGACACAGATTTAGATGGTACTAAAGCAGGAATTTGGCAGTTTATAAGAGGGAATCCATGGTTTGAGCAGTACACGGGTATGCAGAACCGGTAGAACTTGTGGCTTGGGATTGGGTGGAAACAGACAAATTTAATGGTTTGGATTTATGAAACTTGAGTGAATTGGTGAGCCCAGATGGAGTGGAAGAACTACAAAACCGGGGAACTCCCTTTCCTGATAGCTTGAGAGAGAACTTGATATTGTTCATGAGTGACTTACGAAAAGGCAAGTATGAGAGTACAAAGATGGTGGCAGGGAAGAAAGCGACAGAGTATAAATCAACTCTTGTCCATTCTTTCTTATGATGTATCATTAGGATAATTGTTGCTGCAAATGCCGACATCATCGATACCACACATGAAATCAATAATGTAACTCCGAGCATAAGTTTTTGAGGAAGAGAATATTCGAAGTCCTTTAATCTATATGGCGATGCAAGGACAGAGAGAAATGTAATGACTGATGTCAAAGCGAATACAAGGGAGAGTACGTCTGCCATGACAAAAATAAAAAAGAAAGGTTGGTTGAGGAGAATGGGAAGTCCAGTATTTTGATTTGGACCTCCTGGTAATGTGTAGGGTGCAGCAAAGGCAACGGTAGCAATAAGCACAGCAACGATGGAGCAACTCTCAGCGGTGCGCTTCATCCATTCTTTGGCGTCTTTACGAAGTGTTTCACTTTTGATAGCAAATAGAACTTTTGCAGTCTGCCCATTAAAGTTCCAGCAGTTGACGTATTGGGGTGTACAGATTTTCTTCACACGCTGCATGCACATAGAAACACATAAAGGTTTTGATAGTCACAGGTTTGATACACAAATGTGAAAACCAGGCTTTGATTTAACAGCTTGAAGACTCGTCCATAATGGTCATGTTTATGTGCTATATATGAAGAGTATGTGTTTGTGTACACAAAGAGTCGAACCTTAAACAAGAGCAAGTCCTCCTGCAACAGCAGAGCAGGGTTTGGTTTTTCTCTAGCTTCATGATCAGCTACCATTTCCCCAACCATATGCAATATGGTGTTCCCAGAATTGTCGGTCTTTCTTATGAGCCTTCTCGTTGGAATTTCCATTTTCTCTACAAGATCGAAAATCTGCATTTGGCGATACTTAATAGCTACGTGTAAGATAGTACGCCCATGATTATCCATATGTTCAACTGCCTGAGGATATTGCTTCAGTATCTCTTCAACAATCTCTGTGATGCCTGCCTTAGCCGCCAAAAACAGAGCAATTTCAGCCGTGTTTCCACTTGTTGAGGCCTTTAGTACTTCCTCCCCTACTTCTTGACCATATTGGTGGATCTTAAGCTTATTTCGGAACATTACAGATTCAGTGGCCTTCCATGAGGTATCTTTTTTTATCAAGAACTTGGCAAGTCCCAAAGCAGATTCATTCTTCTGTTTCTTCTTCCTAATTGCTTCACATAAGGGCATCCGGTAACATGATTCTATTTTACAAGAAATTCAAATCAATCAGCAAAAGTAAGTCTGATACATGACATTTATAGAGTGCAACAAGCAACATGGTCCGAAATCAAATATATATAAGAGAAACAAGGGTTTCAACCTTCTTTTGTCACCGTGGTATCATCAGCAACAGCAACCCCTGTAAAATCCCAATTTTTTTGTGTTATTTTTGCTCAATTCATTGTGAAGATGACGAAGGAATAGAGTAGAAAAGTTCCAAAGTTTAGATTTCTTCCATCACAATCTCGGCAATGAAATGAACCTCATATGTGCAATGAAATGAACCTCATATGAAAAAAAAAAAAAAAAAAAAAAAAAAAAATGAAAAAAAAAAGGGAAAATTCTATATGACAGAGCAAAGAATCGGAGTTGAAGAGAAAGGATCTTACAGGAGTAGATAAGTCGCCTGATGGAACTTAGTTTAGTCCCACTTAGGAATGCTGATGGATGGCATGCAAGAAGCTGCAGAGCAGTCATCCCATCTCCATCTTGTGCACCAACTAGGTACTCATACTTATTTGCAATCCAAAGGGCCAAATCTGTTTCATTTTTCACATACCATAATAATCATATATGTATCACAAAAATAAATAAATATATATATATATATATATATATATATATATATATATATATATCATAAGCTTCTTGGATAGATTATAAATAGTAAATATATATAATAGTTACATGATCAAGTGCTGTACATCAGCTTGTTCTGCTCATGTTACTCACCAAAATTCTCAGCGAGGATGGTCGCGTGAAGTATGGTTGTTTTATCATCTCTCTGATGAAAGACTTTTTGGGCTTCTTGTGTGGCATCACTTCCTAATATTCTGTTCATTTCTCCATCTAGAAACTTGAACATGTCCTTTTTACCATACCGGGCGGCACGAAACAGAGCGGTCTCTCCGTGCCAACTGCGCAAACCTAACAACTCCGGTGCTTTGCGCAACATTTCCCTTGCAGCCGGGACGATTCTGTTGGAAGTGGCTGCCTCGTGAAGTATGGTGTTTCCTATGTTGTTTGGAACGGTCATTTTGGAATAGTGACTTTCAGGCAACAATTCAAGTAAACTTTGTACCAAGTCGGTCTGTTTGGAGTAGGTGGCCATGTGTAGGACTGTGTCATTTTGTATGGTTACTATGTGTAATGGACCCTCCGGATTTTTTTGACAGAGTTGGATCACTTGCTTCTTTTCTTCTCTCATTAAAGCTTCATACAGCTCCTTATTGTTGGTATCCTCTTCATTATCAGTAATGGAAGTCATGAGAGACAGAGAGAGAGAGAGAAGGTTTCGAAAGGGTGGAAGTCGGGCCTCACAATTCTTGGCAACAACTGTTTGGCAACAACTGTTGTTGTTGTTGTTGTTTGGTACTTCTTGTGTTTAAATTTGACTATTAATAAATATAATATTTTTCTGTAGTCAACCATTCACTTTTTTTTTTTCTTTTTTTCATTCTGAAATTAATATTTACAGGTGAAGAGGTATTCAGCTTCCACCTAGAAAACGCAAGTGACCTATAGTCATTAATCATTATAATATCACAATTACAGTTGTCATTGCTTGGTGCAATATACAAACACAGGCTGGTACGTGTGTAAATGAGCAACTAATAAGTCACTTTGTAATTAAACTAAAAATTATGTTCCACGTCAATTTTTATATATATTATATTATTATACGGGACAAGTGTAAAAAATGCTCCTAAAATATATATGACGTAATATTTTTTCTCTATTTAAAAAAGTGTGCAAAAAATATTTCTTCTAACATAAATTAGTGTTGTAATACCTGTTTCGCCCTTTTACTTTTTAAAAAATGCAAGGAGATATTTATGTTACTAATCTCATAGTATAAAGGTATTATATGCATATTACCTTTTATATATATATATATTTGAAATCTTTTTTTCTATATATATATCTTTAAACATTTTTTTTTAAAACTTTGAGAATTTGTAGAACAATGATTTTAATTTTTTGAGAATTTTCAATTGTTTGGAAAAAATTTGTTTTCTTTACTTAATTTGCACTTTATTTTTGTTTTTATTTTCTATTTTTATCTTTACTTTTCATTTATACTTTTATTTTATATTTTATATTTTTATATTTACTTGTTCATTGTTGGCGTTCTCCAATAGCGTCATTTTTTATCATTTTATAAACTTACTCGTATTTATTTTTATATATTTTATAAAATGGTTTAGTAAGGATAATTTAGTCAACTTATAATTTGTCAGAGATATTTATTTGTACCAGATTGAAACTTTAGAGATATTTTTTGTACGAGAGGGACATCCTCCAATAGTGTCATTTTCGGTAATTTTATAATATTTTTATATATTTTATAAAATAGTTTAGTAAGGGTAATTTAGTCAACTTAGGATTTAAGGAGGGATCTATTTACACCAGATTGAAATTTTATGAGTATTTTTTTGCATGTGATGGGTATTTTCTGCACTTCACCCATTATTGTACTCTTCTTAATCCATCTTTTTTAATTAAGGAGTTTAGATTAAATTGAACCACCAAGTATCAATAGTTCGAACAAAAAAGTTATTAGATACTCTTGCATTATTGACACCTGATGAATCAATTAAATCTAAATTTTGAAATTAAGAAAAAAGCTCTCAAGCCGATTAATATAATATAAAGAAATCACAACATTAATTTTCATTAGATTAGATTAGGTTAATTTCTTCCAAGTTTTAAATGTACCATGATCATTAAATAATTTCTTTCAAAAATATCCCTACAATAACAAGTGCTACATAGATTCATGAGCTGTAATTACTGAACCATCTATTTCATTTTAAGATGACCAATGCACAATGTAGAAACTCCACATAAAATACGGAATTGAAAACGAATTAGGGGAAACAATAAAAGGCACGTGGTCAACAAGAATCACTCCAAACACGATCCAAGAAATTCGGTGATTGATTAAGTCAACGTGGAACTTTGAAAAAAATAAAATTCAACATAGAAAATGGCTTTTAATAATATATTATATAGCTTTTAATAATATTTTCAAGTTTTGAACATGTCAACTAACCGCAGCCTGTGCGAATGGGCTTTAAAATGGGGGTTAAGTGCAAAAAAAAAAAAAAAAAAAAAAAAAAAAAAAAAAAAAAAAAAACCGACATAACTAATCCTTATTTTTTAAAAATGTGTATGTAAATTCACAGAAATAAAAAAAGGTGCAGAGCTAGCCTATGACATAAAATAAATTTAAAAACCTTAATTTGCCCTTTTATCTTCTTACTTTACTCTTTTGTTGAGTTGACTTAGTTTGTCATCAAACCCACGTCACAAACCCAAATTTGTTGAGTTGACTCACTCACAAACCCATTATGCCTGCAATGATGGTGGTGGTGGCTCGCCGGAGAAGATGGTGGTGTGGCCGGAGAGATATTTGTGGACCATTATTTCAGATCTATTTTTAATCGATTCCGAAAGCCTATTTAGCCGTCGCCATAAATTCTAGTTGCTCAGTGAAAACTCAGTTTTGATGAAGATGGCCGTCGCGGAGAGATAGTCGTAGAAGAGAATGGCCATCATAGAGGCCCTCATCGCCGCCGATCCAAGGATGGCCGTCGGTACGTTTGGAGCTCACCTGAATTGGGTCACCCAAGGCTAGCCGGAACTGTGCTCTGTTCTCATCACCGGACTGATACAAAGGGAAGCTCGCCGGACTGTACACTGAAATTCTTCACTCGTTTTGGGTTTTCAATGGTGTTCACCGGAGATAGAATTAAAACACACCGGAAAGGACCTATTCACAATGATCGCCTGAACCGATTGCTAAGCCATGGTCGCCAAAGCTCTGTAATCTCGCCGGAGTTGATCTCTAAAATTTTCTATGTTCCTACTGGCGAACTAACCAATTCCCCTCTCTCTCTCTCTCTCTCCTTCACGGACCTCTCTCCTAATTTTAAAAAACTCCAACCGGCTTTCAATTTGTGTCACAAGAATCACCGGACAATAAAAAACAAGATTCAGTATAGTTGTTTGAGTTGCATCAACACATTAAGCAATAGATTCATTATGAGATTTATCAACACCACCCAACAACATCCTTGCAATGAACTTGCATATTTTATTGAAGGCCACAATATCGCAGCTCTGGACAAACTCATCGATCGGCTAAACCGTGAGTCTTTCCTCGATGAGACTGTCAACGGACACCAAGTCATCCACAATGGTCATCATAATCTGCAATATCTTTACACCATATCCAACAGGTACGAGTTTGGCTGCAACAAACAGATGTTTACAAGTTAATTTGAGAAACATATGACTTGATTGCTTCAGTTCCAAAAATACATTAGTCTCCATTTGTTCCTAGAAGAAATACAAGAAGTCAACAGAAAGAGAAACATACATGCTCCCCAAGTCGATCCTTCCATCTCAATACTTCTAACAGCTTCCTCGAGCATTTCCATGTCAGTCTCATCATCCCATGGCTTCAATGATTTGCCCAAAAACAGCATGATACATGGTGTGCCTATATATATATATATATAAATTTATTTATATTTTAAAATATGAAAGGGCATGTTTAGTTTTAGATTTAATTATATTCAGATTTAGGTTAACCCAATTTTATACAATTTGAGGTTTATATTATCCTTCTGCCAAACAAACTCCATTTTATACAAATTTGGATAAAATGGTCATTTTACATAGCGGGTATTATAATCATTAATTTATTCAACTAAAGTGAGGATATTATCGTCATTTTACACCATCAGGGACTCAATCGCACTAAATTATACACTATATTGATAGTAGAAAGGAGTTTTTTGCATTTAACCCTTAAAATGGTAATGTAATGACGGTTGTGACAACGATAAGTTAGTGAGATACCCCTCGGATCCAAGACACGGGTTGATCAGGCCCAGGCCAAAACTCGAGGAAATATCAAACAATTAATATTTTATAATGAACACGGAATACAAAATAAATTAAGAAATGAAATTAAAACTGGAAGGAACTAAAAATAGAATCCGCAAAATATTATAATTATTAAAATTCATCAAACCCAAACTCCAAAACTCCATCAGTTTACAACTTGGGAATCCATCTCTAGTGAACCCTTATTAAACATCCAAACGGAAGATAGAACAAATGTAATAAACGTCCAGAAATAAAACTATAGAGAGAGCCCTACATCGTCGGAAGAGTGAATAGAGACTCTGCTCAGCACAAACACGTCTAAGCCTGGAACTGTCGTGTACCTGAAAAATAGAAGTGGGTCAGGCCCACGCGCAAGTTCTATACTACTACAATCCAAACAGAGGCCCAATACGCATGTACATCCTAAACAATTCAACAATAGCTAATAGTCCGTAAATATATATATAGTCACACTAAAGGACTCTCACTGGATTACAGGCCGGTCTCAACCTGAATAAAGGTAACTTGCTAAAACGCACACGAAGTGAGCATATGTACCTATACCTAAACAGGGTACACCTCCAACCATCGTAGCCAGCTACACATCCCGATGCATATACGCTCCCTAGCCATCGGTCCTGAGGCTCAAGCTCATACCGAGGCACCATAACAGTACATATATAAAATCCATCCAAAATCCCTGGTATTGCCGCTCAACAAGTAGTTGCAATGACAATACAAATCCACGGGACTTAACTTTTAGTTAATCCCATCCTTATTCCAAGTAGGTGGGTAATGGTATTGTTTTAAAAACCAAACTCATCCTTAGTATGCCACCGTCCCATACCGGTGCCTACTTTCCAATCCTCCAATAGTCAATAATACCAATAAATCAAGTATATATCAACTAAATTCCAACATCCAACATTCAATGTTAGCAGTGATAAAATAAGCATTGATAAACAGGATCACAACAACAACATATACATGCCCAATTTAAGTTGTTCCCTTTAGTCTGATATAAAGACAGAATTAATTAAAACTTCCATTTAACACCTTACAAATAACATACAGATATGTAGGGTATGTATCACAAAATCCTAACCTCCACAGTTAATACTAACTGTGATAATGTAAGCATCAAAACAATATTCACAGTATGTATGTTGACATGCTTAAATTATAGTGTTTCACAAAACCGATCTAGTGTTAAACTCAAATCCTCCCAGTATTTAAGTTCCAATAGTTGCTATTGCAGAAGTTAAGATAGCTATCATCTAGACCCATTCTTCCAATAATTTATACTAGCAGTGGTAAGGAAAAACGTGAACCATAGAACCACAATGCATCCACAAACATGCTTAGTCT